GCAAAGAGGATGGAGCTGGGCTGTTCTCAGTGGGGGCAGATGGCAGGACAAGGAGCAATGGGCTCGAGCTGCAGCAAGGGAAGTTGAGGTTGGATATTAGGAAAAAACTTTCTCACTAAGAGGGTAGTAAAGTGCTGGAACAGGTTACCCAGAGAGGTGGTCAGGTCTCCATCCTTGGACCTGGGTAGACAAAGCCTTGGCTGGGATGATGTGGTTGGGGCTGGTGCTGCTTGGAGCAGGGGTTGGACTAGATGTGACCTCCGGAGCTCCCTTCCAATGAGTCTACCGGCTACATCTCTCTCAGCCTGGGATGATTTCATCCAGGGACAGTCCCATGAAATGAGTTATGTTCCTTCTTCTCACTGGCTCATACCTTGCCTCACTTGTCCATCAGGTCTACAAGGCTGCCACATCAGCCTGGTTCTCCTCTCCTTCAGTGTGTGCAGTACTTATTGGTGGTGACATGACATCCAGGACCAAGGACCACAGGGATTAAGCAGCTAATTCAACTACACTTCCCTGGGCTCTTTCTTCTTTCCCCACCCCTGCAAAGCATTTCACTACTATCTTGTATCTAAATGCTCCCTTCTTCCTGTTAGACACTGTATTTGGGGGTTTATATTACCACCCCACCCCTTTTTATTTTTCTTTCCAATGTTCATCTTTTAATCTGCACACTGCATTTTCCAGCCTGCTTCCCTGGTGACTTCAATTGTACATGAACATTAACTTCTCAGTCAAGTCCCATTGCCTGCCTCCACCATCTGACATGAAAAGCTTGCTTCAGAGAGCTGGTGTTGGCCAAACAAGGCTTAGGATTGTTTCCCTTGTAAAACAAAAGGCTTCTTTAACTCCAGCCTAACTGCAAATTCAGCCAGAGCATAACACACTGCATTTGTATGGACTCAATGCTCTTAGTCTTGATAGGGAGGAATAAAGATTTAGATAAGAAAGAAGCAGACTTTGTTATCTACAGATTAACTCAGGGGCTCCAGGGAGCTAATGCTTAACATGCTTGTGAAAGAGCTCACAACCCACGTTGACTCAAGAGGAGTCTGCATTGGCCCCCAGTTGCCTAATTTAGGTCTTGATCCAAGCTTTCACCTGCATGGATCCAAGCGAGTTGCTTTTGTACCTCTTTAGACTTCTCACTGTATTAACAAGTCAGGAGAGCTTTGTCAAAGACTACAGCATTATAAGCAAGCAAACAGGAAAAAAATACAGTCCAGTCCTCTGTCTTCTGCCGAGACCACCGCTCCCACGAATGCCTCAGATCCATTTCTTTTAAAATCTAGGGTTGTCCCCAAAGCTCATAATCAGA